TTTCTGTTTTAGAAAGACTCATTTTTTCCTTTGTAGTCAGTATTTTTAGTGCTGAATGTAAGCAAGGAGAGGAGATAATAGATCAGGTGAAATGATATCCCTACAGAGGAAAATACACCAGGCTCTCACACACACACAAAATCATGTGAAAGCATTTGACACATGAATAAAGCCTTTAGGTCTCACAAAATAGGGCAAGTGTCTGGACATTTTCACACAAACAAATTATGTTTGGTATAATTGTTTGGAAAATTCTCCCATTTTTCCCTCTCTGGAGCCAGGAGCCGACTGTTTTTATTACTAAAACAAATTTAATACATGACCAAACACATGTGGCCATCCCTTGTATATGAAGCTGGTCTCATCCCAGTCTGAGGCTGGCTTTTATGCTTTTATGCTTTTATGCTTTAGATTTAACAAAGGAGAAATGTACCTAATTTCACTTGGATATAAAATAAATCATTCACTAAACATCAGATTTTTTTAAACATGAGAAGGCTGCCAAGTTCTAAGGATACATGTTTTGGGGAGAGTTACCAAGAATCTAACATCCATCAGCCCAGAACAACAAAAGTGACATAAATCAGCTGTCAGGGGAAGGCTGAGCATCCCAAGCCTCCACAGGTGCATGACAACAAAAGCCTGAAGAGTAACTTTCTCAGCCCAACTTTCCAGCTAAAAGATCCCAAACTCGGAGCATTCAGCTGGACAAAAGGAGTCGTGGTAGTCGGCTCCCGAGGGGGTTGGGAACTGGCGGGGGTTAAAACAGCAAACAAGGAAAAACAACCAAACTCAGGATGAGCTGTCCATCCTTCAATCCCAGTGAGAATGACCAGAGAGCTGCATTTCATCATAACCAGCGACTGCTCCATCATTTTTTTTAACAGTCCTCAGGGTAAGTGCAGTAAAAGTCACAAAACCACTATGTGGCTAAGATATGGATATTTGAAGCTGAAACAGAACGCACAGCAGGAACAATTTGCAGCTGTGCTGAAGCCTGAGTTGTCAAAATGTCCTTTCTCGCCTTCATGAACAACTTTTGTTTCTTTTTAAAAAAATATCAAATTAATGACAGTATGAGATCTGACGTTTACTTTGATAGAACAAAGGAACCGTTACCTACTGGCTCATAGTTAAAGTTTAGTGTTTAAAAGGTTAATCTCTATAAACAGACACAAATGAACATGCAGAATATGATGTTGGAAGCTTCTGGTTTTCCTGATAAGATAAGATAACCTTTATTAGTCCCACGCGTGGGAAATTAGTTTTGTTACAGCAGTGCAAAGGTGCATAGAAAAATGAGAGAAAAACACTGGAATAAGATATCAATAAGATACTGTACACAATAGAATAGAATAAAATACAAGACAATACTATATACAATCGAATAAAATAGTATAAAATAGAATATAAATGCTATATACAATATGAGTACAATACAACGATGTACCCAGGTTCTGTTGACTTTTAGTACTTGCAGGTACAGCGTCTGCAATGGTTCCATTGAGCTGAAATTATAAATGTTTGGTGAGCCCAGGGTGAGAGTCAGGTGATACCTGATGGGACCCAGAGTGAGAAAAGGTTTGTTGTTAATCCAAGTTTGTCTTCAGGTAATAAATTAAACTCTCATTTTGACAAAATGTTGGGTTTCTCGAATATTTATGAAAAAAAAGGAAGAACCTTAAAGTATGGCTGTAGTACATGTTTAACTGTGTTGCTCTGATATAAAGCTGCAGTTCATTGTCCACAGGCAGCAGTAATTGAATGCTGAACATCATTACTCAGAAAGTATAAAAATAGGACAGAGAAAGACAGTAGCTGCTGTTACAGTCTTTGCTGTAGTCTGCATTTCAAAGTCCAGATTCTTCTGATTAATCAGCAAATTTCACTAAATCTAAACCAAAGCTTCTAACAGCTTATTTTGTCCAATATAAAGTCCACAATCCAAAAGCATTCAATGTACAGTGGCTTTAAAGCAAGCAATCCAAATGTATCTGAAGCCTTTCCATCTTTGCGTGGATCAACATTCCTGCTCTACTGAGAGGACTGAAGGCGTCAAGAGCCCCAAAACCTCTCTTTGTCAGAAG